GTAGAGTTCAGGCGATCATAGAAAAAGCTGCAAGAAAAACCTGGAAAAGTGAAATCCCCGCCAAGTTACATCCCCTCAAAGTGGCATTTGCCAGGTTACCACTTGACATGCCTACTTTTACAGATTTGTAATTTAGCTCGTTTTAAATAGGATTTAATGTTTTTTTATTTGTTGGATTTTTCATTTCCTGAACATTTAAATACTTATTTATTCTTTTAATTTTTTTAAAATTTACATGTATACAATAGAAACAAAATTTCAGACAAAGATTAAAAAAAAAAACAAAGTTTTAAATTTTCCAAAAAAAATATATTTTGTGCAGAATTTTTTGCTCTACAACTATCAAAATTTGAAAATAGCGTCTTTTTGGTATTTAGAGTCATGAGCCAGAATGGGATGTAAAACTGAAAAAAACCCACTACTTTTACAGAAATTCCATGTATTTTACAATGGCGAAACTATCCGGAGCTGCTTCTGAAGGCCGCAGCGGGCAGCCACAAATATCCCGTATGCTTGAAGCGTTAAAACTTTGCTACAAAAAATGTATTTTACTTTCATGATGTTGACTGTTTATTATTCAACAGAGGTGTAAGATGTGGCTTTCACTCTAGCGTTTTCTATATCTCGTTTTTGTCAAAATTATGTAGCTAGCATACATTTTAGAGTAGCAAGGAGGTTTAAGGACTTACTGTTTTACCTGAATATCTGTTTAATTAGAATTTTTCCTAAAACTTTCTCTGTTTTTAGGGAACTACAGCACGTCAATTCAAAGGAAACCGACGAGTCCAGCTCTTGTTCGCTAGTGCAGCCAGAACTTCAACAGGTACAGAATAGAGACGTTTCTGAATTCAAGAAGTAAAAAACGCTAGAGTGAAGGCTTTATCTTACACCTCTGTTAAATAATAAACAGTTAATATCAATATTATATATGGGCCACTCCATGCCGAATCGCACACCTTCGTACATCACCCTCTCAAATTTTTTTCATTTTTTGCTGATTAGCAGAGTCTGGGCTAGCATAAAGAAAGCTACAAAAAAAAACCTGGAAAGGTAAATTCCTCGCCAGGTTACACCCCTAAAAGTTGCAAAATTTGCCAGGTTGCCTTCTGACATGCCTGTCTTTGAAGGCTTGTAATTTGGTTCGTTCTTAACGTAATTAAACGCTTTTTGATGCAGCTTATTTGTCATGACTTTCGAAAAAATGTTAAATAATCTATTCTGATAAAAATACAAAAAGGTATAACAAAAACAAAATTTTAAACAAACATACAAAAAAAAATGTGTCTTTAAATTTTTTAAAAAAGATATAT